GCAGCTGCTTTGCAGTGACGTCCCGGCTTCCACCCTCCCGTCTGCCGGACCAACTTTGGTTGCTGCTACACAAGTCCTGAAGGGGATGCAAGGAAATGTAAAAACATGGCGGATGTGGACATGAAAGGGGACGGAGCAAAGAAACCCCCCAGGTTTAGCATGGCCACCCGAGGAGTGGCACCCTGGCGTTTGGTCACTTCACACTTGGCATTTCACCGAAAGGAGCGTAGCGGGGAAGGGACCACACAGCTACAGCCTACGTCTGTTGAACCACTTCAAGGGACACGATCCGCAGATTCTCTGCGCAGGTGCACCTGGCATTGGAAGGAAAGTTATAATCCTCTTTTTCATCCATTTACTGGTACATAAGTAAGGACAGACCTAAGATTCTTCAAGGGGATAATGCCATATTTCAGAAGGAAGGAAGGATATCTGACTGATGCAAGCTGATCGTGTGCTTTCACAGCCCTATGGGGAGCTGAAGTCGATTTGATCCAGATTATGAGACTCTGGGCTTAGGCCTGGGCAGGTCCACCCTACCCCACAAGAGCTGAGCTTACAGTGAAACTGGCAGCATCTACTACTTTTTCTCCTCCACCATCATTCTCTTGATAATACTAGTAGTACTACTACTAGTGATTCAAATTTTGAGGACTCCTTAGATGCTGCAGATCCCATTTTGTTTTGAAAAAAGTGTTTGACCCCCTCCCCAAAGTGGTACATCATTTGGGCCATCTTGTTTTTATTGCTTAATTTCTCCTATTTGCACCACCAATGTAAAGTCTTGGAGCTCCTTGAAGATGAACAAATTTATTACAGCATAATCGTCATGGATTTGCTCAGTACCATTCTCAGGCTGACAAAATGGGCTCTGCCCATCGCAGAAATGGGCTCTGGACCATGGGGGGTTGATCCTATAGCAAATGCGTGCTCCACAAAATCATTCGGTGCCTCTGTCCCCTCCAAACTGGCATCTGAGCAGGGAGCCCATTTTCTTTCTCTTTCAAAAAAATCAACTATCCAGAATGTCTAAGAACCAGCACGAACAGCATCGTGTCGCACACTTCCTTCCTCCCAACCCCAAATAATAAAATCAGGAGACAAATGAGGCACAAGCCTGCATTTCTGTTCCTTTCATGCCGCAGGATCTGTGCAGGCCAAAGACCTCATGGCTTAGTGGGAGAAGCGCCAGCTGAAAAGCCGGATGCGCAACAACGAGCTGATTTAATTTCCTAGAGGAGCAAATGACTGCAGATCTTGCTCAGTGACGCAAGCCGTCAAGGGGCAGGATCCACCGGGAAGTCCTCTCCTGCAGGTGCCAATGAAGGAGGGAATGTGCCATGGCCCAGTCAAAACTGTGCAGGGGTGTGGGTCCCAGAATTAAGGTGGCCCTCCAGGTTCGTCGCATCAGTGGCACTGCTGGAAATGGACTTCTGGCTCCTCTCTCCCAGAGATGTACTTCCAGCCCCCCAAAAACAGGGTGGAGAGTCTCAGAAGACCCTGCTGCGAAGGGCGAGTGGTGGGGTGCGGATGCTGCCAATCCCCTAATTGGGCAGAGGGAACTCTGGCATCAGAAATGCCCCTTTCTACTGACCCAGGACCCAACCCTTGGCTCACAAGCAAAGGAGGCCAGGGAAGATTCCTGAATATCCATCTTTTGACTTTATGGGAAGGCCAATGATATGACAAGAAAGCACTGCTTTTGAACACAGAGGGTATTTTACCTCTTTGCCAAGTCCGAGCTGAGGGGAGGGGAAGTACAATATTAACCATATACAGTACTATACAATTCAACAGGTATCTTACATACAAAAGTCACGGCCCCCGGATGTGGCCATGTCATTTCAAGTGCCATAAAAGTAGAAAAGATGCAGAACCGAAATACTTGATGCGGCCGGATTTCTCCGTAGGGTGATTTTGGCAACTTTTGGGAGATGTGCAAACCAGTGTATGTTTCTGGAGAGGCAAAATCAGCTGATCGGTAAGGCTTGGGGTTGGATGTTTAGGAGACCCACTGAAATGAATAGGACTAGATCATAGCCAACTATTGATTCCGATGGGTCTACTCTAAAGTATGATTGTGTCTGGAGCCAACCTGGGCTGGTTAGCAGGCCAAATGCCCAGAAAGAGCCAGGCTGTTGAACCTTTCTTGGCAACTCAACGAACGGCAAGAAATTGGCAGGTAAGCCGTAATGGAAAGCAGCTCAAGATGGCCACCACTGTTGATCCACATGGTTGAAGGCACATCTCCAGAGGATGGCTCAAAAGTTGGCCATACCCCTGTGCCTGGCGAACCACCAAGGACCAGCTATCTCCTTGGTGTGGGGGAAGTTGTGCTGATGTGAAAGGGATCCGTGGAAGAGGGCCACGGAACGCTGCCTATGCCAGGGGACTCTGGGAAATTCCCTGAATTGTACCCCTTGGCTTCACCCATGCAAGACTCCGCACTCCTGCCTCCTCACTGGCTGCCAACATTTGGTGGCACTGTGGTGGTGAAAAGGTGCTCTCTCTTGAAAACGTGCCCCAAGAATTGTTGGGCTTCTGTCAGCATCAGATTCAGCAGTGGGAACAGAAGGGAGAAACACCCCCCAAAAGGCTTTTAGGTCACCCAGCTCTATTCTAGGCTCATAGTGGAACTTCATGGTCAGTGGGTCAGCTCCCTACAGGCCCAATCCAGTCTGATGCTTGTCCCTCCACACAGAACATCTTGTGTGCACCCAGGAGGGGAGATGACATGGATCTCAAGCACTCTCAGCACTGTCCCCAAACTACAGTTCCCAGGATGCTTTGGGCCAGAACACTTAACCTGGTACAAAACCAGTCCAGGTCTGTAAGTTCACCATACCTATCAGAACACCTTTTGGAGAGAAACACCTGGTGCTCAAACTAGGGTTCTTTAAAGGGCGTGTGCATGGCAGCCAGCAATGGGAGGAAATGCCAATCTTTGCTGGATCCAGACGCAGGAACCAAGAATTTCGGCAGATCCATTTCAGCGATCCGCCTCCGTCAAGGTTGCACGGATGAGGAGTGGTCCAGGCAGTTTCCATAGGTAGCTGCCAGGCGGGTCCAGGGGGCCGCAGCCCTGAACACTTTTCCTGCGGCTCTGGACCTTAAATTCCAGGCAGGAGACAATTTTTAAGGTGGGGAGGAACTGGGGACGGAAAAGTTAACTCTCTCTCGCTTCTGGCATCCCTGTCCTAGAATCTTTACCTCCATGGCAAATAAGGGTAAGAAGACAACAAAAACCATGGGTTTGGGAAGATCTAGGTCGGTACAAATTCATTGAGGAATTTATTTTGAGATGGGGTGGATGAAATGTTAGTTACCTGCCTCCTGGCAATTTTTTTTAAAAAAGGTTGTAATTATTTATCGATTGGCCCCCAAAGGCATACATTTGCGCATGCATCTGCATGTCCTTTGGGCCTGGAACCTTGTACATCAGCTCTGCTCTTATCTTCCAGTCATCTACATTTATTGCAGAAACTTTATCCTAACTTGGTTTGCCTAGTGCAAATTTGTGGGGCACCGCTGAATTGGGGCCACCATGAATGGAAATGGGGGGAACATTAAACATCCCCACCCATTAAAACACTCCACGGTGTGGAAGCTAAAGAAAGAAAGGAAACCTTCACTGGCCTTAACAGAGCTTGCTCGCTCTTTCATCCTCGTTTTGGTGGAGCAAATTTGGGTGGGAAGGTTTGACCCCACAGCCCAGATCTGCCCAAGGCCTTTGCAAGCTTGCACAAAAGTTAAGGAAAAGCTACTCATTTAGCACTGTGGGCAGCCTAATGCCGAGCTCTGCTTCTCTCCTGCAGCCCCTGCGTGCACCCTCCCTCGCCGAAAGTCCCGTGCACCTGCCATCGCGTCTGCAATCCGGAAGAGTATTTCTGCTGAGGGATGAGAGAGAAACGAAGGCCTGCTAAGCCCCAAACCCAGGACTGCTTCATACCATTTGCTTTCAAATGCTTTGCAACGAGAGAGAACCTGACCCGGCCCCCGGAGGTGTCATGTTTGTGCGTCGTTCTTCCAGAGCAGAGGCAGCGGCTTCAAAACCACGTGGGGAGGAGGCAGAAGCTGCAGTGCCAATCTCTCTTTTTTCAAGAACCCCAAAACCTAAAATCTAAGAAGAGTGAAAGAAGACCACAATCTTAACTTGGGCTCCGCAGGAGGGACTGTTTAATGCGACGCACTCTTACTTTAGCACTCTGTGGCTCCCTGTCTGGAGACCTGCACGTGTTCCGCTACTGCTGAAATTCTTGCCCGTAGCGGAGAGCCCAACGTTGCCACTGCACCATCCCCATTTCTTGCCAAGGTGGACTGGTTGTGCGACCGAGAAAACCTTGAGACGAGTTCAGCACCAGAGACTCTCAACTGGTCCCCGTTTAAGTTTGCTTCCGACCATGGACCACTGAGCATTGTAGAAAAATAAGCCATTTGAGACAATGAGCAAAGGAAATTATGGAGGGAAGATGGGCGACAAACGGGGATGGAAACACATGTCTGAGGGGCTTGGTGGGCCAGCGGGGGCGTTCAGCTGCGGGGAAGACACTCGGCGTGACGCAGAGCCATTCCGGCATTCCCCACGTCTCACGCCCCCCCCCACGAGTGGAGGGCAGCCAGTCCCCCCAACGCGCTGGCCAAGGCATTCCTTCGGCAGACATGCTCAAAAGACACGGAAGGCAGGTCTGTTCAGTGGACTTTCTGCACAAGTCCAGCCCCAGGCAAGTCCTTCACTGACGCCTTGCCTCTGGCCACGCCCCAGGTTGCTCCGGCAAGCAGGTCATCCCGCAAAACTTCAGGAGTGTCGGAGAAGACGCATGGAATTGCCTGCCGGTGCCTGCCTTGCAATGCAGTTCACGGCCGGCAGGGCGGCAGGCGGGTTCAGAGGTGGGAGGCGACCCCCGGTCACCTGCGTAATACTGCTTTCCAAATCCTCCGCGGGCTATGAAACAAGGGCCTATCGAACACGGCTGCGTTCACAAAGAGGTCCCGGGGTGCCCTTAGTCCAGCGGCTCCTGCTTTATTCTGATGGTGGTGTTGGGTTGCGCCCTTCTCTCCTCCCGGCAGAGGACATATTCGCTGAACTGCGAGGAATCCACGCCCCCGCCGCAGGAGGCGGCCACGCTGAACCCCTTCTGGAACAACCGCTCGAGCACCTGCGTGGGTTTTGTTTGGAAAAAGCCAGAGTTAGTGGGGAGGATGATGCGTATCAAATGTGCCTGTAACAGAGGAGATGAACCTCAGGCCCAGAGCTGAGTCCGGCACTCCAGGATTGCCCTGGTGGCCGTGCTCCCTTCCCCCTAACCAGCAACCATCGGGTGGCTTGCTGGCGTAAGCCGCCCTTAGGGCTTAATTCTTTGAATGGCAAGTCACTGCCAGTTCTGGCAGTGCCCCTTTGCTTTGGCCCTCTGTGCCCCATAATTGGAATGTGATCCTTCCCCAGAATTCTGCACTTGGGTTGAAAAGAGTTCGATGCACACGGGGCAAGTAACTGGCACGAACCCCCGAATGCTCCCAGGTATTCGCACTGGGACAGAGGATTGTCCTCGCTCTTAAACTACTGTACTGAAAAGGTCCTGCAGAACAGAAGAGGGAAACGAACAAGGGAAGAACCCAGCCAAACTGGAACAAAGGCATCAGCTGCCTTCCTCTGGGAGAGCAGCTTGCGTGTGCACTGAGGGGGCAGGAAGCTGCCGCTAGCGGGGAAGGCTGTTCCCACCAGCCCTCCCTCCCTGAAGACTCCCTGAAGGTTCTGAAGACTGCACCTGCGGGGCAAATATGGCAGGGTGGCCTTCCCGAGAAAGTCAGTGCAGGGCACGAAAAGTGCCCCCCCCCGTCCCACTGCTTCTGGAGAGCCTTTGGTGGCATCCAGTCCGACCGTCAGGAAGGCTTCATATGCCACCACCGCAGTCACCGTCCTCGTGCAGCGCCCCCTCCCTGCCATGCGGGGTGCCTGCAGCCACAGGCTGGCTTCCCCGCGAGCCTGCCAGCACCTCCAGCCGCACGGCCAGTGGCTAGAAGCCCTGCGAGCTGTGCCCAGAGCATTTGGAGGGCACCCAGTCTGGGGAAGGCTGATCCGGACACCGGCCCCCGACTGGCGAACCGAGGCAGAGAGCCCATAGCTCATTCAGCACTGCCCCTTGCCCAGAGCCCAACGGGGGTCCGAAGCCATGCCTTCGTGGGCTTTCACGTGGCTTCCCACTATCAGGGCCACGCCTGGCTCTCCTGGGCCGCAGAAGCATGAAGGCAGCAAGCAGGTCCCCAAACGCTGGCTTTCAGGAACTCCGAGTATATTATGCAGCGATAATTCTGTAACTTATTCCTAAATGACTACAGTGTGATTAAAGTCTTGCTTACAGCAAACCTCTGCAGAAAAACCAAATATTAATCAAACAAACAAGCACTCTGCAGGGCAGTTCAGTACATTATGGAGTAAAATACTGGCTGGTAGTGATATTGATGCTTCCCTCTTAAGGAAGAGCAATGCTGGGGCTTCAGTCATAGGAAAATGAGGCCATCGCTCATCATTAATATGCAAGTTCAGGAGGAGGCAGCGGCAGCAGCAAGCGAACACCGGTATCTCCTTGCTTCTGCTGCCTGGGCACAACTGACGCATGTGTGTTTGCACCCGCACCGCCCTCTTCGTTCCGCCATCCCACCACCGCCGCAGGACCATAGAGGAGCTTCGAAAGGGGCAAGAGCACTCCAAAGCTTGGCCCAAACTCTGGAGCTTCAAGCTAGCCCTACGTGCTTGTGGGAAGCTGCGGGAGAGAGAAGGGAAGCGGCTTCGGGGGGGGGGGGTTGCTGAGGGCATTCATCACCCTCCCTCTTGGAAGACCCAGACCCTTCTGCTCTGAGTCCACTCTGCCTGCTCCTTCTGGCTTTTCTCTGCGCCTCGTCTGGCCAGGTACAAACCGCCCAGAAGTGGACACTGATTTGCAAGGCATCAATGCATGCAAATCCCTGTGTGGAGGCAGCTTTCGGAGCCACGGCTGGGAATGAGGCAGACACGGAGTTTGCTGCATCACCATGCGGGAGCCTGCGACCCGGGACCACGCTGTGCCCATCCGGAGCCGCCGCTGGCAACTTCATTATCTCTAAGCCGAAATCAACGAGGACGGCTTTTCCGACAAAGGGTGCCTCCAAAGAGGGGGCTGGAAAAGAGGCCTGTGCCGGCCGGGTGCAGGCATGCTCCCTGCAGGAGCGAGGAAGCTGGCACCGGCACGCCACCCGGCGTGTCCTTGCCGCCGACCTCCATCCGCAGCGGGGGGACGAGGGTGGCGGGGCGCACGCAGGAGAACAAAATGCCAGCAGAGCTTTGCTCGGAGCGCTTCCTGCCAGCGCGGTGGAGCCTCAGCAGAGGCATTTCGACCTTCCAGAGGCGGGTGGTGGTGGGGAAACAGCACCAAACACCCTGCAGGGAAGCCGCCACACGCCCCCCAGCTGGGGGAAAGGCTCCAGGCTCTGGAGGGGGTGTGGCTCCCTGGGGACCCCCCTGCAGGGATGGGTGCCCGCCGGGACTCGGGCCCGTGCAAGCGCTGCAGTGGCGGCACCCTTTTTCTGCGCACGCGACTCGCGGGCTTTGTTCACCCCGCGAAGGAGCAGCAGAAGAGCCGGATCTCGAGCGGAGCATCGCAATTCCACCCCGCAGATCAGGTGGGGCCCTGGTAGGCCAGATGTGGCTGATGGGCTTGAGGCACACCAGCATCCCTGAGGGGGAGGGTGGGCCCGGGGCCTGACAGAAGCAGGGGGCCACAGCCTCACGAGGCGGAGCGCCTGGGTGGGGCTCCTCCTGCTGCTTCTGCTTCTCTTTATTCCAGGGGTAGTTGGGTTCAAAGCCAGCAAGAACGGAAGAGAAGAGCCCTCTCTACTGGCCCAGACGTCCCGTGGGCTCCCACGTGAAAAAGGCATTGGGAGGCTGAACCTGCATGCTGCTTTCTTTCCAGTGAGGGCACCATGAAGTCTCCCTCCCTCCCATCCATCCAATTTATTCCCCCTTCCTCCCATGGTGGAACTCAACCTGGCTGTACATGATTCCCAGGGGGTCTCCTCTCCAAGCTCAGGCCAGTCCCAGGCCTGCTTAGCTTTGACACGGTGTGTGCATGATGTGCCTTCAGGCCATGCTCCGGACCACAGTCTCCATCATGTGACGCCTCTGGCTACCCGCAGGACAGTGCTCCGACAGCCTTGACAAAGCCTTCTTTGAGTAACTAGCTGCACATTGGTACTCATCTAAAAAACCCCCTTTTGGTATGGCATTGTAGCCTTCGTAAGCTTAAGTTTGTTGCTTTAGTCTTTTTATCTTTTCTTGTCCATGCCAAAATCACTTTAGCTGTGTGGCAGTGGATCGGGGTTGCAAAACAGTAAACATGAACTTCTGCTCTGCTCTCTCCTCCTGGAGGAAGCCCAAAGTAACCAAGTATCATACAAGGACAAACTGATGTCAACAGACAACCAAGCAACACAACAATAAACCGGTCTGACAATCAAGTGTGAACCATAACAAACTTTCAGTTCAATGCCTACAACTGCAAAAGCAAAAATTCAATTGAAGAATCAAAGAAGATTGACTCTTTAAAAAGCACGTCTTCCCAATTCCAACGCAATCTGAATCTTTCCAAGCTTCCGAGGAGCATCATGAAAGAAGAAACACATTCAAACCATGTGTGCGTGGACAGACCGTCCCCTAATATGCAAATATGCACATGATGAAAATGCACGCTGATTTCTGCAGTTTTCTAAAGAAATAAAATCACATGGGCTTGTGCAGAAATCGGATGGAATAAGCTGGGCCTAAAAAGTCCATCAGACTTGGCAAGAGCAGGAATGCAAGATTTGCTCACCCATCTGCCTGCGACTGGCCCTTCATGGCCGGGGTGGAGAATGTAAGGGCATTTTCTGAGCATGCAAACCAGGTGTGTTTGTGTGCCTGGCCACATCCGAAACAGAATGCTGGGCTGGATGGCCTGTCTGATTCAGCGTGGCACTTCTTAGAGTCTTTTGCATGGCTTAAATGTGGAAAGCTGGCTACTTGGTCAGTTTGCAGCCTGTGCCCTCAGTTCTGTGTGTTTTCATGTATTTCTGAAAAGCATTTTAGTTCTCATTCGAGGCTCCGGCCTTTGGAGGGAGGCATGCAGAGTCCATGCTTGCAGTGAGCGTGGCAGCCCATGGAAGAGGCTCGCGGGCCGTTCCCACTCGTGCGCACTGTGCCCACCGTGTGGCCTTGCTCACAGGTCTGCTCTCCCATACAGCAGAACAACCGTCGCTGAGGAGTGAGACGTGAGCCCTGGAGAAGAATGGCAGAAGCAGGTGAAAACTGGACAGGCTTCCAGCTGGTTTGCAATCCCACAACTCTGGAGATTTGACAAGGAGAGCAAATCTTATTTCATGCAGCAGCATTCACGAATACAGTCCTGATGCGGGATAGGAGTGAAAGGCATTCAGAACAAGTAAACGGAGAGCCAGTGAACTCCTGCAACTTGCATTCTTCCAGATTTGTAACAGTATTCTTTAGTTTTATGCAAATACATAAAACTAAATGTGTGTCCTTGGTCAAAATGTATTAGTAAAACTGCGTGAAAAGGTCACATCTCAGGAAAAATTAAACACAAAAATGCATGCGCTCAGAGAAACGCGGACAAAATGCCTACGAATGCTTAAGCAATGTAAGAAAAAGGTTCTGATGCTTCAGGATAAACTGAACTCAAGATCTGAAACCGAGGAAGCAAAATCGTTCAGTTGGTTCACCTCCATCCGGCTTGCGAGAACATTTTGAACTGGACAAATCTTTATCAGGAGCCAGATTCAATTTCCGGGAAGATCCCGGGGGCCGGTCCCCACTGGGGGGAAGGAAAGAAGGTGAAGTGTGTGGGAGAAAAAGCGCAGGATCGAAAGACTGTCTCCTAACGCTCTTCCTGGCAGTAACCCTTTGGAATGGGGAAAAAGACCAGCTGAGGAACTGGGAGGCTGCGAAATGGCCAGTGGCTGGGTAACAGGCACGGGGCCAAGGGGCATGGTTGCGATGGTCTGGGTCTGGGATCCAGTGTGGCACAGTGGCTGGAGCGCTGGACTGGGACCTGGACCACCACTGCTGCTCCTGAGTCGCTTGTTCTACTGGCTTGATGCTCACTTGGTCTTCCACATGTCCTTTCTTTAGTTTGGAGACATGCGACCGGTTAGATCCATTCCCACTTTCCGACTGCATCCGGCTGGCATGGAGACACCTTCAGAATCCATGGGAATTGCCTCCAAGTTCACTGAGTTCCACATTTGGATACAGCTCTTCTTTTCTCCGAGACCAAGTGCATGCAATTCCAGTGGCCTTAATTCACAGGATCTGCCTTCCAGATAAATCGATTAACATCCTTTTCATCACTCTCCTTTGAACCCTTTCTAATTTGTTCAAAGCGGCTCAGACCACGGCCCCCACGAGGAATGCTCCAAATGAGGTCGCCCCGTGCCACACCGAGACGGCTTTCCGTGTCTCGGAAACGGAGCACGGATTGCCAGAACAGGAGGAAGCTCCGGCCCGTTCAGCCACAGCACTAGACTGCTCCATTTGCCATCCATTAGGACTACGCTGAAGGCCAGTATTTTTTTGCAAGCAAAAATCCGTTCTTGCATTTCTTGCATCTGTAATTTACATATGAAGCCTACATTGGCTGAGAGGGACAGTGGCAATTTAAAAGCCTCCCTTCTCCAGTCTGCATATTAAGTAAGAGCAAGACAGAGAGGCACATAATTCTACAGACAATGAGCTACACCTGCTGTGCTTCTGCTACCCATCAGTCTGACCAAGCACCCAGAGCCGGGTCTGCCCCCACCCCTGGGGGGCGGGCGGCTGGGCAGGCAACCTCTTCTGACAATCAAACTCGCTTTTGAAATTTGGCTTATGAAAGAATACCGCACACCAGTCTTTCCCAGCCTGGTGCCCTCCATGCAGGTTGGGGGTGATGGGAGCTGTAATCCGGCTGGAGCCGAGGGTCAGACTAGATGGCCTGGGAGGCCCCTTCTGACTCGCTCTGTTTCTATGTTTCTGTCTAGGGGCGTCAGGTTGGAAAAGGTTGCAATGTGTCATGGTATTATTAACGTAATCTGGATCAACAGGCACCAAAGAAGGTCTGCCTCTCCAGTCCCATATTCTGCAGGGATGCGTGAAAAATTCATTTCTGTTTATTTTCAACCAGGAGGCCTCCTTACACTGCGCCAGATGTGATCTGCAGTCACTGCTCAGGCATCTCCAAGCGTGCCAGCGATTTACAAGCCAGGCAAATGTTTGGCAGCACATGCACCTGAAATGTGCACATTTGAAACACACAAATGCATGTTCACCGGTGGGAAAAGAAGGCACAATTAAAGGTGGACACACCCAATGTGTGTGTTTCATGCACATTTTCACACAGCAAGAAAAACACCGCTTGCAACCCAGCATGGGCTGAAGACACAGCAAGCTCAGAGGTAGCATTTGGAGAACTTCGGCCACCTCTCTTTGGGCTTCTGTGCCACAGTCGAGGTTTCCAATGAGCAAACTCCTTGGGTCGTGGTAAAAGCGACTGTGCAGAGCAGAGGATTTGGTGTATCTTCCTTAAACAGCACGTGAGAAAGAAACCAACTAGCCAACCAATCATAAGAGCGCCATGCTGCTCGTTCAGAAAAGCAGGTGCAAATTCCACACCAGCTGATCACCTCGCAGAAAATGAACTGACAAATAAATTGACCTGAACTGTTGGGGTGACCATGGCCCTAATGTTAGGGGAGGGTTCCTCACATGGTAGGAGTGGATGCATCCTGCAGGCAAAGTTCCAGGTCCAACCCCAAGAATTCCAGGAAGACCTGGAGGGCTGCAGCTTCTTCCACGAGGAGCAGCGCGTCCTGCCCTAGATGGCCATGGTCTGACTTTGTAGAAAGCTGCCTCCTCTGTTCCCAACTTTCAGCAGGACTGATTTTACACTGGGGTGCCAAAACTCAGGTCCCTACCACAAAGGGTCCATGACCCTGGCTTGCCGAAGTGGGGGGACCTCTTCTTCCTCCCATCTGCATGCGCAGATTGCCAGCCAAATGACATTCCTGCCCTTCTCTCTGGCCATCAGATGCTTTCCCAGGCGCTGTGCAAGCCCTCTCCCATCCAAATGCTTTAAATGGTTCTCCTGGGGATCAGTTAACAGCTCCAGGCTAAACACACTGGCATTTTTGTGCTTTGGCCCACCCCCCTTTTCCTCTGTTCCCACCCGATGCCTGAAGAGCTGCTCTGAAACAGAATGTTACTCTCAGGGTGGACGAGGCTCAAGGGTGCATCACAGAGAAGGCTGAGATTTCAAGCTGGGTGACGAGACGCTGCCCTCTCTGCTGTTCATGGCAAAGTAGCAAGCTGTAGCCGAGGAGCAATTACGGGCAGAAATCCCACCTTGGGGAGCAGGACTGGCGCAGAGGAACCAAAGCTCCGTGATTCACCCCCAACTTCACTGGGTCCTTCTTTCCAAATCGCCATTGACCCTGGAGCCTCTGCAGGGCCCGGCATTCCGAGCAGCCCCTTCCCCACCTCCCAACACTCGGCTTGGCCGCCATGATTGCTTTGGCTACCAGCCTCCAGGAGGGTTCTGCCTGGAGCCAACGGCCAACTGGCCCGGCCCAGCATCCTTCCCTGCTCCCAGGGAAGGCATCCACCCCCCACAAGAACAGCTCCATGGTCAACACTGTGGTGGAAAGTTCCTTATTGCTTGGCTCTGCGCTAATGGGTAATAAGCGGCAGAGATGCTCTGGAGGGGAAACTGGTCCAGGAACGCCCCTCAGCGCCCCCGCATGCCTTCCTGCACTCTACCTACCAGCCTGGTAAACTTTCTTTGTATCACACCATAATTCGAAAACTTAAAAATGCAATAAAAAGTAGGGGAAAGGGGGAAACATAACCCAATCAACCCTTGTAAAAACCTTTGAGTGTAAAGTAGAGCACATTTTGTTGAAAGTTCTCTGGGCAATTTTTACAGAACATCCTCTTGGAAAAAAAAGTGCAGAGATCATTTTTAAGTCCACCCCGTGGGCTCCATCATTTAATTATGAGTGGGACATAAATTATGCATTTACACATTGTTGCATTTTCAACAAAGTGGCAGGCAGAAACCTCTTCCCATCCCTGCTTCTCTCCCTCCCTCTGTGTGTGTGTGTGTGTGTGTGTGTGTGTGTGTGTGTGTGTGTTCACATCTAGCACTGGCTCGCTCCTTTTCTTCCTGGGGCACTTTAGAGGGGAAAAGGGACTGCGGGGTCTGTGCTGATGAAAAAAATTAGCATTTGTCAGCCAAACACCATTATGAGACCAGCATGGTACTAGCATACAGAAAATCTAAATATGTTTTTAAATTCCTTCCTGCTCAGACTCAGGGCAAGGAGCGAGGGAACGAGGGAAGCTGCCCGAAGAAGCCGCGGCTTCGCCAGGCAGAAAAGGCCTGCCACCCATTTCCTCCCTGGACGGGCGCCCCCTGCGGTGGGTGACCGGACGTGAGCGGAGAGGGGCCACGGGTGAGGCCCTGCCATTACCTGCACCGAGTTGAGCCGGCAGTATCCATTCAGCGGAAACCTGATGACGTGGGTGGGGTCCTGGTTCCAGCCCGCGTTGACCGAGTTACACATGACGTCCCCCGTCTCGGGGAAGACCTCCTCGATGAGGGCCTTCTCCCCGCTCAGGGCAATCCTCTCCCCAAGATCCGGGGTCACCCTGACCACCAGGCAGTCACAGGCCTGCAAGTGCTTCCGCTGCTCCTTCTCTTGCTTCCACCTCTCCAGCTCCTTGATCATTGGCTGCAGCTGGTAGTACTTGGCCTCTTCATATAAAAGGTTGAAGTCCTGGATTCAGGCAGAGAAGAGACAAGCCCTGGGTTCTCTTTCGGGAGCAGCGGTCATCGCCCGGCCTAAACGTTCCCCGCCCCGCAGTGCCGCAAGTCTCCGAATCCCCCCGATTCCCCAATTCCGCCCAGGACTGCGAATGCCTTTTACTCACACGTACCCGGATGGTACGATTTGCGTGCAGCCGCTGACCCGTCCTTTCTCTTCTGCGCCCACGAAGGCAGCTAAACCGGGCAAGGCGCTTGCTTTAATTTAAACCCCTGAACAAGCAGAAGACTTGGCGCATTTCCCAGTGAGGGCACGACGGACAGACAGCGACTGCCTCGCCGGCCGTGGCTTGCAAAGCATCTCCGACAGTGAAGTGAGCAACTGCGCAGTGGCCGACAGAGGAAACCTGCTATTGTAATTACTGTTATTGCGACGGCGATTGCTCTTTTTATCATTTCTTGACCACACAAGAGCGAAAGCTCTGCGTGCCGGCCAGGGAAGTGCAGCCGGATTCCTGCCAAAGCGGGCATTGCAGCGCACCTTGGTTTTACCTAAAAGTGTTAAAGATCTTCCCATGGATGAAATCCTATTAATTTCAGAACTGGTTTGGGACACATGTGCACAGAACTGCACTGAAAAGGTATGTGTGAACAGAATCAGGCGCTGCTTTTGCAAAAAGGGTAACATCACTCTGCGGAACACACAGCAAATCTGTGACGGATCTCTTTGAGGTAAAAGTGTTTGCGAACCTGTCAGGAGAGCTGTTTTCCACCAGCTGTATGGCGTGGTATCTTTCTGAGGTCGACACAGAGTCCAGACATGTTATGGAGGAGGAGAGTTTCTGGAGGTCTGGACTGCAACAGCCCATTACCCGACTCACTGTGCTGAGGACCGTTGGAACACCATTCCTGACAAAGAGACCTGCAGATCCCGGAAGGCTGCATGGTTTGGCTGACTTTTATGTCGGCCTTGAAGGAATTTGGACTTTTTCTTATGGCCTTTTGTTCTACGGAAGGGCTGATGCACAGGGGTGGCGCTTACGTCCCCTGCACCGCCCCACTGGGCGTCTCCCATCCATGCACGCCTTCCGGGAAAGTGCGGAAGGAGATTTCCCCAATGGTTTGAGGTGTGTTTGGGCACCGAGAAGGAAAGCGGGGGGGGGGGGGAGCCTTGAAAAACTGGCCAGATGTGTGGAAGAGGAACAGCACACTCCAAAGGGGGTGCAGTTTTGGCAGGCCCCCCAGTCCAGCCCTTGCAATCACGCCAGCATTTTGCATACAAGGGGTGGGGGAGGCAACGCTTACAAGACGCCTGGGGGTGCTGACCACGCCGTCGCTGCCACATTGCCCTTCACACGCTCCAAGGCAGGGCAGTGGGCTGCCAGGCCCGTGTCTCCGGGCCCCATCTTTACGCCAACCCGGAAGAAAGGGCCTCCCTCTCACGGTGAGGAACTGCAGTCTGGAGGAGGGACGGGGCGCAGCGCGGAGGAGAGGAGAGGCTGGGCGAGCTCCATTCCCCAGCCAGGACCCCAACCCGCTTCACGCAGGCCTGGAAATCCGCACTGGTCCTCAGCCCAGGGAGAGAAGCTCAGGGCAAAATGGGCATGTGAAGGATCTGCCGAGCGGCCTGGGCTCCTTGCCCTGGACCCCGGCCCACCCAGGCACAGCCCCGAGTCCACGCTCCTGGCAGCGTGTCTGGCTGTGAGGGTGTCCCCGGAACGGGGAGCAGCTCTGGCCCTCGGGCTGAAAGGGGTTCCCCACCCTGGCTGTGGAGGGCATTCAAGGCCTTCTCCCAGGGGTCTGCACCCCACATAAACCAGGGGAAAGAGAAAGTGGCTGGCTGGTTACTGGGCAGACTTCACCCGCCAGGCAGCAGGCTTTGCAAGCCGGGCACCGTGGAACTCCTCGCAACTGCACACACACAACTCTCTCCTTGACCCCTCCTCTCAGCCCCTCCGTGTCTCAGCCCTGGCCTGATTCGCCCCTCCCTCGAGCCAGTTGCTTCTGGACTGAGTTGCCTTGCTCATTCGCCCCACAACACTCTGCCCCCTGGAGAGCTGGGAGCTTCCTCCTCTCCACACACGCAGCCCCCTCTGCCCTTTCCCTCAAGCCTCCTCCTCCCGGCCTCTTCCTCCACAGCCTTCTTCCTTCGCCTCTGCTTTCCACCCTCAAGCTGCTGGAGCATCTTCGCAGTCCTCAGCCCACCACAGCTTCAACGCCGACCAAACCAACGACTTCTCTGCCTTCCATGGGACTGGACTGCCAGCTGCCCGGTCCCCTGAGCGAAGGAACACGCCTGGCCTCTTCCCCAACTCTTGGTCAAGCAACGCCCGAGGCCGCGGACTGGAAGACGTTTCCAGGCCTCCTTTGGGCCCAGAAAAGGCCCCACTGCGATGTGGCAAGGGGGCTGAGGAGGCTGCGTGGGAATGGGGAGCAGCTCGCTGGAGGCCACCTCGGAAGTTCACCACGGGAAGGAAGAGCTTCCCGTCTCTCGGACGCTGGACTGAATGGGCTCGAATGGGAAAATCCAGCCAAAGGAATCTGTCTCGTAGGCATATTTCCACATTAGTTCACATTTTAAAAATCTGCAGAAAAATGTGCCATCGATGAGTCCGTGCATCACCCGAAAATACGCTACTCTGGATGTGCTTCAAAACATGCCATGCTAGACAGAACCGGGTCTGGTTCTGGAATCCTACAGCAGCGTAGCATCATCCGAAGAAGTACAAAAGTGGAGGAAGAGCTAGGTTTCATCTGCCCATGGCAGGAATACGGTGGAGGAGGCCCGGACAGGCCGGACTGGGAGTCCCCAAGAGCCCAAACAACCGGAGGAGAGTCTCTTCCCAGATCCTTGGGCTTCAGGCCTTCCTTAACCCTGGAGACCCTCACATGGAGACACACAGTCGTACACTTACAACTGCCAAAGCAGGGGCCTTCCTGGGGATGGTGTGTCCTCTCAGACACCTCCCTTAGGTGTTTGCATTCTTGAGTGTTTCGTAATTGATTCCTTCCTCTGTTACCTGGTTAAACAAGTATTACTATTGCATCAAACTATATACAGGTTCTTAGACTGAAAAAACTCTTTAAAATTTTTTAAAATCCCTACTCCTCCTGTTTTGTAATTTTATCAGCATTATAAATTACATGTGCTAATAAGACAATAATATTGTATTATTATTGAGTGACAATATTAAGTGATAATACTGCAATAATAGTTTTGTAAAGGAAGGATAGTTTTTTTCCCTTTTTTTTCCTATTTTTATTTTTTTCCCCTATTTTTCCTATTTTTTTCCTATTTTTTAAAGGGTCAAATTTTTCCAGGCAACCTACCCAGGGCTAGTGAAATTTTTCCAATACTTAATTTTTCCATGGAAAATATTCAATTTCACAAGTTCGTTAGTGACAATGAACGGATGCCAATTTCTACTCCATATTAGCCAAATTTGGCAGTTTTTGAACTCGCAATTAATGTTTTTGGGGAGAATCAGTATTCCAATAAAAATATTCTACATTCTACAAATGCACATTTAAAGCAGATCCACTGTGAGATCTTATGTATACTGAAAAGTGCCTTTCAGTTCAATGGGGCTTCCTCCCAGAAAATGGGATTGCGGGTAAGACTGCAGCCGAAGTGTATTTTAATTCCAGCCCCCTGCCTCAAAAACTTCAGGTCAAATCCTTCCAGTGCATTGGAACAAAAGAGGAGCATGAGGCATAAAAGAGCGAAAAGCAAAAGCAAAACTTGTTTGCTTGCTAAGTGCACAGGAAGCAATTATGCGCACTGAGCGCATGCCCAAGGGCATCCAAGCACTGCCCAGTGCGCCAGCCTCTACACCCGGGGGCGGGCGGCGGGGGGGCACAGTCCTCTTTTCAGCCTGTTTTGAGGAATGGGCCAGGTCAGTTTTGGGATGGGAGGTGCTGGAGGCCATAGGGGCGAGCCAACACACCAGCGCCCTCCAGCTCGAAGTTCTGTGCCATCTGGGGGGCTAAGCCAGGGGCACCCGCAGGAAAGGGGGGTGCGGAAGGGGCGTGCCCCCTTTCCTGTGAAACCTTTAGCGCAACGCTCTAGGCCCCCTCCTCTGTGCTTGGTGCGGCACCCCAGTGCACACGCCTGGGGCAAATGCAGGGCGTCCCCATTTGCTCCCACCGGCATTTCATTCCGGTTCCTCTGCTGTCACCTGAGTGCCATTTTCTGCTGGAAAGGCAGGACATAAAATGGCTTAAATAAATAAATATCTTGGGGGAAGAGGGGCAGAGTTTTTCAGTGTTTGGCTGTTCACCTGAATTTTTGTGCCCCTTTTCTAGGTTTGTCAAATAGGGGGAAAGTATCAAAAGCTCTTCCAGTGGGATGGATCACGGCCTTGTCTGGAGGCTGAGCGACCGTCAAAGGACTCGTGGCTTGCCTCAGGGTTAGCCCGGGGCCTGCCCAGCCCTCAGTCAGCCTCTGCTGCCTGGGCTCGCACGACCCGGCGCGCCGAGAGCCCCTGGGAGTGTTCCAGGAGGCCGCCTGCAGATGCCGAGTGTGACGTAACGGCTCCTGCGGGGAAACGCGGCCGCACCTGCCAGCCTCAAAACCAGCCTGCAAAGAGCGCGCTTCTCCGCATCCCAAAGCGAGGGCCAAAGGCAACCAGGAAGAAAAGCCAGAACTAATTCTTCTCCACTGACTCCCTTCTGAGATTTCCGCTTCCCAGGAAAAAAATCCGGTCTGCACTGACTTGCCATGAATCATCGCGTCCTGCTGCCGAGCCGGCATTTTGGAAGAAGGAAAACAAAGCGGGAGGAGATCCCAAACACACAACGAAGCACAGCAGAAGGCTGGGGTCACAGACTCCCTCCGAAAGTCCTGTAGTGTCTGGAGGATGGAAGCGCTTTCAGCCCAAGGCCCACGTTCAACTTCGGGGGCTGCATCCAGTGATGGTGCTGAGGACACCGAAGGGTAAGGTCGGGATGCCGAAAGTGCCAGCCTAATTCAGCTTGCAACCCCCAGGAAGCCAAGCTGTGCCAGAGTTGGGAAATCGCCAACCAAGGACCAGCCTGGTCTGGGGAAGGGTCTGAGCTGCCCCTGGACTTGAGGGTCTGCCCCACTGCACGCCAGCCAAGCGACACGAGGGGGAATGGCAAGGCCAGGTCAAAGAGAAAACCTCGGGGTGGGGGGCCAAGCTCAGTATTTTACGACACTCCTTAAAACCCAAGATATTATATGTATTGTATGTAAGCCGCCCTGAGGCTCATGCAAATGGGATGGCATACAAAAATTCTAAATAAATAAGCTTCTTCTCTGAAACTGTCACTTGCAAAACACTTCCCGCACCCTGAGCCATGGGATGGCCAGGCTTGCCCGGAAGTGGACCCCATGCTAACGAGCTAAATTCATTTAGGAAAACAGATTTCGTCCCGGCTCTGCCATTTCATGTCTCCTTCCCATTGTGGTATCTATGACAACAGCAGGGCCTGTGTGTTCAGCTGGAATATCTCCCAGGTTGCAGGCGAGGAGGAGAAGGCCGCAGCCGGTCCAAACTCCACCTGCAAGCAAGCGCCACGAGCCTCGGATCAAGGCGGCCCCGCAAGGAAAGCAGCGGAACTGAGCAGATGCAAACGGGCTGCGCGAGCGACCTCTGGCCCGGGTGCAGGCAGCGCTCGGCCCAGCCTTCGTGCCACAGAGCACCTGCGCACCTCACGGTGCCCCTCGCATGCAGGCCTTCCCTCCCGCCCTTCCGGGCTGAGCCATGGCTGGCACTTCCGTGCACCCCAGTGCCCACACTCTGGAGCCCTGGGCGTCCCACTCCTCGGGCCTGTGCAGGCGTTTCTCTGCACGAGTGGGGAGAACGTGTGGGCTACGCATGTGGCCTCTGCTTCCAAAACCTCCCGGCACTTGGGTCCCCGCCTGCCATGTTGGTTTGGCAAGGTGTGGATGGCCGGCCCTTCCCCCAGACGTGAGCGGAGGTCTCTGTGAGACCAGGAACTCTCAGAAGGCTGCTTTGTTTGGAACGCCCTTGTCCGACTTTAGGAAGAAATGTGAAAGCTGGAAAAAACATTCAGAGGAGGCAGATATTTTGGAGAGAGCCGTATGGGTCGGGTTTGTGGTTGAGGGGCATAAATGCCTCGCCTCTCCTTTCGTGATCATCTCCCTCGCATCCGACAGCGCTCTTGAACTTCAGTTAAAGCCCAGGAGAGACTTCATACGGCACCTCTTTTCCCATTCCCCTGCCTTTTCAGAACTGGAAATAGAGGCGATCAGGGAAGCATCATAAAAAGAAAGAACACCCCCCTTCCTTGTGTACCAGGCAGAAACGAGCACAAGGGCACCACATGAGCAGCAGTGGGACAAAGAACCCAAGGAGCCCTTGGGGAAAAAGAAAGAAGTCGTGTAGCATCCGCCTCCGAGGAACTTTCGGGCGACTGTGCCCCTCCCTGGAAGGAAGCAGCTTTGCCCACCAACGGCGGAGAGATTTTAAAGGAGAGGTTTGCCCTTGGCATCCCTGGAACTACGGTGGCCCACCCTGGCTCACAGCTGGCCTCGGCTGGCCATGATCGGGCATGGGGAAAGCTGCCCACAGCTGGGTCCACACGTGGCGGGGGGGGGGAGGGGAAGGGCCTTTGCCAGCCATGGGGCTGTGCTTCCTCAGAAGGATCCACTCTCAAACAGACAATTGAATGAGTAAACAAACGGATTGCAGGCTTCTAGCCTGTCTTACCTTAAAGTCTTCTGGGAGCAGCAGTTTTGACGTTCTTAAGAAGCTTAAGATGTATCTGAAAATTTCCCCGTCTCGATCAATGAAATAGTGCTGTTTTAAGCTGTCCAAGACAATAGGCTCCGTGCCATTAAACAGACGGCTTATTCTGGGAGGGGGGAAAAAAGGAAAAGGATGGGCAGAGAATGGAGCAGAAGGACACGTGATCGTGCAAGAGGCACAGACTCTTCGGTGGCACAGAGGACTGGCAGGTTCCTCGACTATTTGGTCTGGCCTCAAATTCCTGGGCAGGAACCCAGAAGAATTAACCACTGAGGCATCCACCCCCAAATTTGTGCCACATAAACTTTATGATGGAGTCCCCCAAAGAATGGTGCCCCGTGCCAATGCCAGCTGCTTGATTCACCCAACAGATCAGTCAAGGGACCCAGAAGCTCCAGAAGGAAAGCCAAGACCAGTCCACGCAGTGCTGGGCCACCTCCTCTTCCTCAGCATCTCCGGTGAGCAAAGTTGCTGCTGAGACGCATTTACAAGGCTCTGATTCAGGAGACCGGCTGTTTCCCTGAATCCTGTCCTCAAACTGCGCACCAACAAGACAAACCGACTTGGCTCACACCTGATCGTGGCTTAGTCAAGCAGCCAGAACTGGCCCAGGAAAGGGTCTTGGGAGAGAACTTGGAAGCCTGGCTTCCCTTCGTGGCTCAACAACCACGGCTTAGTACCACCTGCCCTAGCCTAGCAGCCTCCTGTGCTGGACTGCAGCCCCCATAACCCCCCTTGGCCATGCTGGCAAGGAATGATGGGAGTTACAGTCCAGCACGTGCGGAGGCCACTTGGATGAGGGAAACTGGTTTAAGTCAAGACTGCTTCTGCGGGGCTGGTTTTACACAAGGGGTGTGGGTGTGTCCCAGCGTGAAAACACGTATCCAGGAACTCCCCAAGCTCCTCCTGGCTGGCAAAGGATGGTCCGCCGCCCTGCCTGAGCTCTTTTGCAGAGGGAAGTTTTGGGCCAGAAGGGAGAGCATCTTCTCCTGAAGAGGCCACATTCCCCACTTGAGGGGGTCCACCTGGCGCTTACAAATAGCACCTGAAAAGTTCAAACGAATTCCCATTCGCAAGAGATCCTTTTGCAAAACTCCTGTTTCTTCCTCCTGACAGTTGTGCGGTTGCAAAATGCGCCTCTAATTAGAAAAGCATCTCTTAAGATCATCGCTGCTGCCTTTCCCGCAGACAGAATCCCTCTGGCTTCCTCCCGCTTTTCTCTGAATTTGTTTGCATCTCTCAGGGAGGAAAAGCTCCCCTCAGAATTGGGGAGTTTGGGTGCAGTTTTCTCCTGCCTCCATGGCCCAGATTGGAAAAAAACTCTGTTTGATGTCACATTGTTCTCCCACTTCATGTATAATTTTCTTTCCACTATCGCTCCAAATCTGGTGTTTCCAGTTCCTTCTAATTTAGTAATCATCTGCAGATTTCATTAATGTGCCATCTACTCTCTTCTGGATTAATTACAGAGATATTTAATAATGCTGGCACTCATGCAATTTCCTCGCTGAACGCGAGGAGAAGGTCCCACACCCTTTCTGGGAACCACAATTTGCATCCGGTCATCCCCCACCTTGCTCATCGCCTATCTGCGCCACATTTGAGCTTGCAAGACACACGCAGCATTTGGAACCAGGATCCAGTGGGAAACTTCCCAATAGGCCTTTGCAAACCCCGACACAAGACCTGTCTGTGCCTCCCCATCAAGCGGACTCTGAGGCGACGGCCAGGTTTGCTCCCACAGGCACCGCGACAGCTGTGGACCCTCGCTTAGCCACACTCTGCATGCCACCGTGTGAGGGCAGCGTCACACGCCCAGGTCCCTCCCAGTGCTGGCAGGATCAGCGGCATGTGTGCACACCATTGCGACATGGGCTGCAACCTCTGGAGCCGGATGCGCCACCTGCGAAGCACCCCGATGCATCCGCAAGAGCTGCGTTCCCTCGAGACGGGTTCTTAGCACGGAGCCCGATCTTTGGGTGTTATCTTTGGCTACAGCCTATGGGCACCAGTCCGTCCTTGCGGGACTTCCTATGGAGCTGCTCTCCTGGCCCAGCCTCTCTCCTGTCAGCAAAAGCTTCCCCTGTTTATGTATTTATTTTATATTTATTTCTAGTTCCATTTCTATGTCGCCAACTACTTGAAAAGTTCCTAGGTGCCTTACAAAATCATAAAAATACATGTTTAAATCTAAAACCATTTAAAATTTTAAAATCAAATATAATGCAATAACATTAAATAGGTGGAAGGGAGTCAGGATCAATTAAAAGATATTAAAAAGGTACGTTTTCACCTGGCGCAAAATGTTGTGATAACACCTGCAACCTATCCCAAAAAGCTGAAATATCTCCAACAACTGGTGCGAAGACCCTGAGTTAAAATATGATGCCATTTGGGGTGTGCTGTCTCCATGCCTTCTGCCACCAGAAAGTGGGCCCCGAGAGCTCCCCCAGTTTGGAATTCAACTCTCGGGCCAAAGGAGATCCAGTGACACTGGATTCGAAGACGCCCTAAGATTTAGGAGGCCACCAAAGCATGCCGGTTCCCAACTTCTTCCTCCAGACCACCATGTCTGGGTGAGGGCAAAATGGCAGACTTGATGGTTTGAACCCCTTTGCCAACATAATGAGGCTGCGAAAGGACGGCATACAAATATAATAAACAAATAATATTTATATCAATAACCCAGCACTGCACAGGACTCTGAACAGCTTCCCTTCCACATTTTTAAATAACATAACTGACAGATGCTAATCAAGACCATTTGGAAAGCAGCTCCCTGCCACCCAAAAAAGTTCTTTTTTGTTTTCTTTCTTTGCTTTGTTTCAAGCCATCTGGAGATCAAACACAAACTTCCTCTTTAAGTGAGCCACTTATGCATTGCCCCCCAAAAGGGAACACATCAGCAGAAAAGGAGGACAAGAAAGGACACAGATTTGCATAAAATTTGTACATGCTAATTTACAGGAATCAGAAATTATTGCTATAATTTGAACAGGAAGACGATGTGGTTCATCAGAGCAGGGCAGATGGTGGCCGGGTGTCCAGGTGCTAACTCTGGCTGGACCACCTTTCCCATGGCCCGACATCCTTCCGCTGCTCCTTCCGCCTCCTGGCTTGTCCTCATTCAGCTAGGCATGGCCACCCCTTCAAACAGAGGACTGTGCCCCTTGGCTCCTTCACGTTGGGCAAGTGCTTCGCACAGCGAAGGGTTAATGCCGTCTTGAATTTCTGTGCGTGAGCGGGAACTGGCATTCCACTGACGCGGCACTCCCCTCGGTTAAACTGGAATCAATTAGTCGGGGGTGGGGATGCGCTGGTTAGCGCTGCGCTCGGTCTTGTACTGAATCCACTTCGTAACTGCAGCTTGGAGAACATTTACAGCGGCGATGAACGCAGCTCGGAGGGCTGCTGGAACTGCCGTCGAGGCGCTGCCCTCGCGGCGTGTGTGGGCGAAGGCTGGCCTGCCACTTCCTGCCGGCGTCTGCCCGACTGGCTGAGGTCCCTTTGCCAACCGCCCTCTGCTTGCCTCTCCAAGGCGGGCGCTGGGCGGCCTGGACTCCCCCGTGCCAGAGCCCAGAGATGGGACGCGGCCACTCGCAGGAAGCGGTGAGGGCCAAAGACAAAGGCTTCCCAATGAGGCCACTTGGCGGACTGCGAGCAGAGCCAAGGTGGAACTCTGGACCTGCCTGTCACAACAGCTCCTCGCTCGCTCGCTCGCTCACTCGCTCCAGGGCAGAAAACCCTTGCTGAGCCCAAGAACCGAGCAAAGCAAAAATATCTTTAATATTTATTATGAGGCTCTTGCTTTTTTTTAAAGCCTGCCTTTTTGGGTTTTAAGCGTAAGAACGATTTTTAAGAACTTGACAGTTAAAACCCATAAAAGAACCTCTGGATTAAAGAAGCACGGAGAACAAACCATGGGAATGAAGCAGAAGCCTGGGCATAGAAAGGCCACTGGGGGAATGATGGATTTCACCCCAACGAGGAAGGAAGCGCTCCAGAGAAGTGGCAACGACGCCACTGGGATGTCTGGGAGGCCGATCTTCTCGAGGGGCAGCGAGCAGGGCCTCCAAGGTGGTGCATCTGATTGCAGGTAGTTCTCAGCCGTACCTGGTGCCGAATCACTGAGGGCTTTAAAACGCACTACTCTAAACCGAAGGCAGGAAGGAACAAGGGGGCGGCTGCAGGGCTGGGGTGACGCCGGCAGAACGCCCAGCCTCGCGGCCACTCCAGGTAGCTAGAATTTGGCATCCACTGGAAGATGCAGGATTGCCGTCACAGGCACCCTCACATTCAGAGCATGCCTCTCTTCTAGTCTGCATGTGACGGTACCAGTGGTTGGGTGCCACCACAGGTTCACAACCTTAAAAGAATGTTTAGATGCCAGTAATGTGCACAAATAATTTTCTGATTTGAAAACGTCATTTGTTTTTGAGTGTACCAGGCAAATGCCAAGTCTTGTCTTGCCAATACCTGGGGAAATGCCCCCTCTCAAAGACGGGAGGCAATACTGCAGACATGAAGCGGCGCTCCCTGTGAGAGACCAGGCGATTTGCTTGCGAAGGGGGGTGATGAGTGCATCTCCTCTTATCACCATGACCCACTAGTCCCTATTGTCTGAACAGCTCTCCGTGTGCTCTGCTTTTCCAACTCTTGGAGGCTGTTAATACTCCAGCAAGCTGAGATCTAGAACCCTTACTTTTTCATGAACATGGGCTTTTGACACCTGTCAAAACAAATGCCTTTTCTTAAAGTGGGGTTTTTGACAGGGCTACACAGAGTTGCTTGGATGCATTCCATGAATGGGGAGAAAACAGGTGGGCTCTCCAGCTGCCTGGAGAGGCAGGGGGCTCTGCCACACTAGAGACATTCAGGAGGAAACTGGGCAGCCCTCTGAGTGGGGTGGTGTGACTTGCTGTCCTGCAGCAGCAGGGGGTGGACCCGATGGCCTCCATGGCCCCTTCCAGCTCCACTACTCTAGGATTCTATGACACTAAGATAAGCTTAGTCACCAAGATCCCCGGGGTGCTGGTGAGAAGGCTGAAGTGGGGACCATCCATGCCGAGTCCCACCATCTCGGGTTGAACAACCCACACTAAGTAG